GACAAATACGTTTATTCGTTTCCTGAATCTTGAAAAGGAAAGTGATAAAAAAATATTTTAAAAAATATAAACAGATAGTATATCACACAAATTATAGTGAGTCAATGTTATTTTGTTTGAGAGTGCTGGAGAAAAGTAAGTACATTATTTTTTATTAAATTTTCCTCAATAGTTTCTTTTTGAAAGTTTTAGCAATCGGTAATATAATTACAGTGCAATCTCCGTAATTCGAGCTAATTGTTGCAAGATGTTCGAATTATGGAATGTTTTCGGAAAAATGAAAAAATATTTTTAATATACAGCTGCTGGATTTTCTGTCTTATTTAAATAAAGCTTCTTATGTAATTATTTGCAAACGACCCATTTCTCTATACAACTGGACGAGTCAACTTTACCTGATAATGCAGCATTATTATTGGCATATGTTCGTTTTATTATGAATCAAGAAATCTACGAAGAACTGCTCTTCGCAAGAACTTTGATAACCGACACTAAAGGTGAATCAATATTTCATGTTTTGAAGGATTACTTCATTGAAAAAGCAATTCCTTTATCAAATATAATATCAGTAGCTACAGATGGAGCACCTGCCATGGTTGGACGTTATCGTGGATTTATAAGCTATTTAAAACAAAATGTGCCCGGGGTGTTAGCAATATGTACATTGCGTCATCCATCGACAACATTTAGTTGCTAAAAATTTGAGTGTTAGATTGCATAAATCACTTCATTTAGTCATTGATGCAGTAAACCGAATCCGAAGCAACGCGTTGAATTAATATTTGCGCAGTTGTGTGAAGAAAATGACGAACACTTTCATCAATTACTCCTTCACACTGAAGTACGCTGGCTGTCGAAAGGCTTATGTTTGACAAGATTTTTTGCACTTTTTGAGACTATTTTAGAATTTCTGGATACTAAAGATAAAATTTTAAAAGAAAATTTAATGAAGAGGAAAACAGATATCGCCTATTTAACAGATTTGTTTACAAAATTTAATATGGTTAATTTGCAATTACAAGGCGACAGTTTAAATTTGATTAAAACTAACGAATTTTCTCAGTTCCCCAATTTGTCACAGACAAGCTGCCAGGAAGACGACGTTTCAACTTACGTTCAACATTTAAATGCCCTCTATTCAGATTTTGAATCTAGGTTTGAGGATATTTTGACTATGGTAATACCACCGTGGATAATTAATCCATATGGTGACATAGAAGAAACGAATGTCATAATACAAGAGGAACTGACTGAACTGAGTACAAACGAAGAACTTAAGGTTCAGTTTAAAAACGGATATCAGCAATTCTGGCTGCAAAACAACATACTTGTTACTTATCCCGTATTATGGAATATAGCGAGGAAATTTTTAATTTCCTTTCCATCGTCATACCTAGTGGAAAGGGGGTTCAGCGCTGTTACCAATCTCCTAACGAAAAAAAGAAACAGACTAGACATCATTAGCCGAGGAGATTTAAGATTAACCCTTACAAAATTGACGCCAAATGTTGATAATTTATTATTAAAGCATCAGGTTCATCCTTCTCACTAAAAATATTGACTTATTGCTTATGTTATTTTATTTATAGTTTATTTTATGTTTTTGGTGTCTGACCAATAAATGCCCGCATTGGGAATAAGTGCCCGCATTGATTTTTTTAAAGAAAATATTTTTTTTTAAATTATTCTGAAAATTCAAGGATAGGTACACACTAAAATTCGTTAATTTTTGCCTATTTTTAGATAACTTAAACGTATAAGAAGCGGAAACTAACAGTGAAATTATTGTAGAACATGTTTTTATGTTATAATTAATAAACGAACTCGCTTATTGTACTATTTTAAGTAAAAAACTTTTTTTATTATTTTTCACTTTTTTTTATTTTATTCATCTTATTTTTTTTCAATGCGGGCACTTATTTCCAATGCGGGCACTTATTGGTCAGACACCTGTTTATTTAATGTTACGTATATTTTACATAACAGATACAAAATTTTATTTTGAGTAGTTTTAATTCAAATTCATTTAATAAATGTATAAATTAACATGTGTTTTTACTTTAAGTTTTTAACAATAAACTTTACTACAGTTAGAAATTTACAGGAAATCAATATCAGGTAAGTAGGGGGTCTACCCAACACGGAAAAACATGGCAAGGGGTCTGTGACACAAAAACTCTGATCTAGAATGACATGAACCAAGAACCTTGGGTATCCGTACAATCTGATAAATACGTCTATACGTCAATGTCGAATTTCATCAAGTTCAGCCCATTTTCAAAGTCGAGCCGGTTGAAGTTTTATACCGATTATTAATATTCAAACCATTTTTCATGTGTAAAATTGACTACCTTATCCAAAAATGCAACATTCCAAAAAAGTCAGTGGCGTGAAAAATAGTTTTCTTTTACTTGACACGCCTACTGGCTTGACTCCTCTATAACTTGGGAAGTACCCGTAGGATTTTGATAAAATTTTCACACATGGTTACACTATGCCAATGACGAAAAAACTCTGTAGGTTTTGAAAATCGGTCTAGTGGCGGCGGAGAAGAAGGCCAAAAGCAGAAAAATCTTCGTTTTTGACATTTCAGACGATCCTAGTCAAAAAAATTTCTAGAGGTTAAAAATTTGGGGTTAGGGTTTGCAGGAGGTAGTGGAGGGTATATCTCAATTTTTTGACGTTAGTATATTTACACGCCTCGAACCCCAGTAATTCTTCGCACATATTAGGCATATTACACACATCATACATGTCCCCGTACATTTACCCTTAAAACTTATAAATATCTCCGACAGTCGGGAGTCGCTACGTGCGACGTTGTTCCCCGATAGACGAGCGTTGTCGTTGGTGGCCGAACGTCAGTCGCCAATCGCTTCCGCACTGCTGTGCTGTAAATTAATTTTTTCCCTAAAATGGATAACTTATGCCAAACATAATCCTCTGATGACAGCGTAGGATCGGAAGTACAGGGTCAACATATTTGACTTCTGTAGAGGACATAATTTATCCATTTCTAAGCCACTGGTATAGTATCAGTCTTAATTTTTTGTCTATATTGGCTATGATGCTAGTACTGCAGGTACAGAATTTCAATATCTCAATCAAAATTCCAAAAGATATATTTTTTTTATTTCAAAATAATTTCAACTCTCTGTATAGTATCTCGGTAACGGGGCATTTTACGACCCATGATTATCTGAACTTTTCGTATTAATTTTTGATCTACTTTGAGCTCTAGAAATCACACACGTTTTTCTATAACACCCTGTATACATTTACTTCTCTTACTTTATACCAATATCTAGATTAGCCTACTTTTGATCTCATTTGAATGTCCAAGGTTGTATGCATGATCTTACACTTCGTATGCATCTTAATGTAGTAATAAATTAAATTTTATATTCACAAAAACTCTTAAGTGTCAATTGTGACATCCACAAGTTGGAAAATAAGGCATGCTTTCAGGAATTTTAGGAGCCAAAAGCGGATAACACATGATCCTTCATTACTTATCATGGAATGCGATATTTATTGACGATATGTCACTGACGGAATGATCAGTAAATACTGATGATACGGACCACAGTCAATACTGATTGTGTGGCATTCACCTTAGATCTCTTGGCTATGCCTTAAATTTATCGACAACTTGAAAAACGTCGAAAGACGTTTGTAAAGTGGATAATTTGACTACGCCAACTCAAAAAACATGCAAAATTGAATTGAGTTTTCGTATCAAAAAATACAGGATGATTCACAAGTCGTGACCAAAAATAAAACATCATACACAGGACCGCATTTTAAGGGGGGTCTTCTATGCAACATTTTTTCCTGGACGGCTTCATTGCGTGTTGAAGTATAAAAATAAAAAACAATTTTTCTTAATATCTTCAAAACCGTCAACTAGAATGAACTAAAACTTAGTATGGGAACTCACCTAAGTATTGTCCACATTCAAAGGTATTTACTTAAAAATAACGTGCTCCAGTGGCGGAGATACAGGGGATTAGTTTCTATTATTTTTCCAAATAAAAATAGTACGCCACTAGTTTTTCGAAACGTGCGATTTTTCGAATTGCACCTTCAATTTGCTACAAATAATTTCTCTTGTGTTTGATCTAGAATGCATAGTATTCGTAAAAATAAAAAAAAAATAGTAAAAACCTTTGGGTAGGCTGGCGTCTCTTAGGAAATCTCTCCCGAGAAACCGCTAAAGCATTTCCATTACAGAACTCGTACACAAAATTAATAAGGGCATACGCATCATTCCTAAATTCCATTTCACAACGCTCAAAAATGGAAAAAAGAAACTCTTGACTTTCCAAAATAAAAAAAATAGTAGCTACGAAAACAACCGTGTAACACATAACTTTAACAAACTATCTCCCAAGAAACGTCAAGTTGGTATCAAGGCCTCCTATTTTATTTTGACACTATATGTACAATCCGAAAAATAACGTGTTTTGAAAAAAACATAGTGGCGTACTATTTTTATTTTGAAAAATAATGCCACTAATCCCCTGTATCTCCGCCACTGGTGCGCGTTAATTTTGAGTAAAGACTTTTGAATGTGGACAATACTTCGGTAAATAAATCCACATACCAAATTCCAGTTGACGGTTTTGAGGATATTTTATTTTTAATCTTCAACACCCCGTATCTTTTTCATGTTACATAGAATGCGCCCCTGTGTATGACGTTTCATTTTTGGTCACGACCTGTGAATCACCATGTATAACCGAAAATCACTGCGATTTTTCATAAGATTGGTGCATCAATTACTGAAATCACAAGTTGACAAAAGCGCCAACATACATTTGGACTGTCAGATATGCAGCTAATTTTTCTTGAAAACTTGAGATGCGTGAGTACGTTAGTCCTACATTTTCAGCCGCGCTTGTTCTTGCAAAATCTAGAAGAATTCATGAATCACAGCTTATACTTTTCCAACTTATATTCTTATATAAATATATTACACCATATTAAAATCTACTTACCTAGAATCTTCAGTTACAATTCTACCTATACCAAATCCACTTAAACTTAAAATATATTGCTTTCAGATATTTGGGCAATAACTTCATTAAATTTTACTAAAACCGTCTGTTACATGGAAAAACTTTCAGAAAAACAAATCACACTTCTCTCCTACTTGAAGAACACTCAGTAACTACTTCTCGAGTGAGACAATTGCATAATTGATAAAATGCCTTATTATGGCTCACAAGCTAAAGACAATTGCCTTTTATCAAACATAACCAACTAGATCAACAATAGCGATTTGAAGTCGCGCAGCTTGACAATGATACTGATATGATTTTGAAACGATTCGACAGCAGAGAATTACAGGAAACTTGTCGTTATATAACTAATATTTACAATGAAGTTTTCAAATCGAATCCGAGCAAAAAATGCTCAAGGCTGGCAGGTTGGAACTACGGCTAATAGATCAGGCTAACTAGCCTAAAATTAAGTCAAGTAGATTGATGCACAAGAATATCTATACTCCTCGTTGTTGGTGAGATACGCCTGATTTCAAAATATTGAGCATCTATTTCTTTACTACGCCAAAACGTTGAATGACACCGGAAAATAAAGATTCTAGTTTTGTTACGGCTTTGACCCCTTAAAAAAAATTTAACTACGCCTAAACGTGTTCATAATTAAAAAAAGATTGAAAAATGGGGTCAGGTAGATCAACTATTTTGCTCTTCATGAAAAAAGAAATCAGTTAGATTGCAGAAATGAGCATATTCGTACACGGAAATCTCAATTCTTTGTAAGTCTGGTGTAAAACTGATTGTCATCAATGTTTGATAATTGATCGCAACACCTCTTGATAAATACTTGTAAACTATACTATACAGGGTGCCATGGAAATAATATTCGTTACTTTAAGAGGTGATTCCTTACATTTTTCTAAGCCAAAAAGTTCATTATTAACTTATGTCCGATAATCAGTCGTTTTCGAGGAAAGTGGGACGTGGCTAATATGTTTTATTATACGGGGCGATACACATTACCAATTCCCACGATTATCAGTCACTTATTTGAAACGGTTCGATGCACGAAAAAAGAAAAAACCATCATCCATAAATCACATAAAGTTACAGTTAAATGTATCAGTAATCGCAACAACACGCGATGATACATCCAGTGCAGGTGGAGTACGATGTTGCCAGTTGTGTGAGAGATTTTGTTTATCTGTTTTCCTTCAGAGACTTGTATTTAATAAGCAAGAAAATTATTTTGTTAGAGACAGTTAATTAATAAATAGATGGATTGATACATTTTACGCTATTAGGCATATGAATTAGAATTATTAATGTGCAAAATTAATTTATTTCATGACTAAAAAGAAATAAGTTTAGCATTTTTTGCTCAGAAACGGTTGATTTTCGGACATAGGTTATGATGAAATTTTTTGCTTAGAACAATGCAAGGAATCACCTCTTAAAGTTACGAATATTATTTTCCTTAACACCCTATATAATATTAATCACGAACTCAAATAACATCATATAATATACACCTGTCTCCACGCTGCTTGCCTGCTGGGGTAGAATACCAAAAATGCAATTTTTATAAACAACCCTGTGGCGCACGACATATGCGACCGATACAAATATTTTTAGTCCATAGAGATCCGTCCAAGGCACTTACGAAGACCGGCAGGCCATCCGGTAAAGCCAGAGAGCATCCGTAAGGACGTGAATCAAAATCATTTCTCTATCGTTTTAAGTTTTAAGGGCAAATGTACGCGGAAATCTATGGAGTATAAAATATGTCTAATATGGTCCGTAGAACTACCGGGGTTGGAAGTGTATTAATATACTAACATCAAAAAATTGCGATACATCCTCTCCTACAAAAATATCTCCAAAGACCTCCAAAAACGTCGAAAAACGTTTGAGCGTTTTTACTTTTTTCTTCGTTGTTGGCCTCTACGACGCACCGCTACAGGAGAAACATTTATATGTATATTCTAGCAATACTTGGATATTAGGACTTTAGCGTTCTGCGACGCTTTTGTAAATGAAGACTTTACTATTTGTATAACTACACATATATTTCCTTAAGTGTACCACCCATTTTGTCTAACCTTTTATTCGTGTTACTGCGTGTATGATCGTTCTCTGAATATTCCATCAAGTAGATTGACTCAGTACGTATGACGCATTGATATACAGCAGACTGGACTGACAAATCGACATAAATGAGAAACACGGAACGGACTTGTGAGATGCTGATATCTTTAAGCAACAGAAAGCTTGTGAACAGAAGTTCGAAGATTATCGCTAGTTGAATACTTTCATCGTTTATGTAGTTGTAGATTTTTAAAGTTAATTCAGAGGTGGCGGAAATAAAATCGCTGGAACATAGTGTTACAACGTTTTAGAAATATCTGCTCATTTCCAGACATGCTTTGGAGGGAATGAAAATTGTAGGTGGGAAGCTGTATTCGGTAAATGGTTGTAAATTGTGACATATTCGGTGTATATATAAGTCACACATATTTTCCCTACATTTGCCATGGAAACAGAAATATGATAGATTTGCTTTATATAGTTTGATATGCAGAGGTCGAAGATTCATCGTACCTAAGTGAACCTTCGATTCGATTTCGCCTTTTGAAACGATTTCCTGTGAAACCTCGAACGAAGGCGTAGGAACTATAGAGCCAATCTACTTGACGTCATTTTTTCCTCATAGCTCCACCGCTACTGGGCCGATTTTTCTTGCCTGAAAATTTCATCCAAATCTGAGCGGTACTTTGCAAGCTATAGACCGACATACAGACAGACTGACAGACAGACAGGTCGACGGAAGAGAGTGACAAGGTTTTTCATGGAGTACAATACATCCTCGCCAGAATATGTATAGTGGGAGGGAAAATACTGGCGTCCTGTTCAAATAAAATAGAAATCCCTCTTTCCGTTATGCAATCGGTCATTACATTTTTTCTAATATTCTATTATCCTAGTTGTCCTGGTCTATAAATCTATGAATGAGTATCCACTGCAATTTTCGTTTATCAAGACGCGTCGGCCACGGCGTTTACCAATTTGTGTGCAAGGTGCATAGCGGTCAACACAAAATTCATTATGTCGTAACAGCTGAACGTGAATGAATAAGCCTTGGATGTGCTTGGAAACAAATTACTGCACAAAATTTAGCATCGGTCCGGCAAACTGAAACACACGTCAACTTCCCCGTAACACTGGTCCTCAAAAATTGTCTCCTTATTACTATGCTTTATTACAACAGATTTGACACGTGTGAATAGAAATATAGTCCTACAAATTATATTTCGCGTACATTTTTAATGGGATTTAGTTTTTTGCTTTAAATTTAAATCGCCACTTTCATAACTTGGGATGAAATTGGACCCAAATCGTTTCAAAACGTCGATAGACATTATACTATGTAATTCTTGTTGTGAGTTGTACTTCACTTACCTTTTTATTTTTCACAGCTTCTCGGCGAATCGACCAGGAAAAATCTGCAATTGCGTCTTTGTGCAATATACAGGGCGGTCAGAAAATAAACAATAGTCTTGTAGCTGCAAATAGGTCACGCCATGATAAAATTTTGTTTTATTAAAAGTCTCAAAGTAATCGAGATTTTCAGCATTTATTTTTTTTGTTGCTGAAAAGCTGGCGCGAGTTTATTTAATCTCGTGTCATTTCTAAAAATATTAGTTTTTTTATCAAGGTTGGTTTAAAATGCTTACAAAATAACGTGAAATTCGTAAAGTATGCTTAGAAGCAAACATGATTCAAAGAATTTTTTTTAAAAGTAAAAAAAACAAAATATAGGACTTCGGTGGGAGAAATAAAACGTTTACTTAAAAACTACATTTATTCTTACACAAAATATACAATAGACAAATAGGTACAATAATTACAATGTTCCAGAAAGGAAATACAGAAATTACAACTTCATTATGAAGAAACAATACAATGTATAAGCATTACTAAAATTGATATACTTTGATTACTCGGTCTTTTCCAATACTTCTTGTAACTCCCCATCTACTAAAATTGACGACAAAGTCCCATTAACTCCTATGCACGTATCTTTCACAGAATCCTTGAAATTCCAGAATAAAAGCTTTTGGTCTCTCAACTTCAGCTCCTCATTTAGTGTACTCAAGCTCTGAAAAAATTATTCGTATGGAAAATACGAACACTATACAGGGAAAAATCAAATTTTTCTGACGGCTTGAGTTCAGTGTGTACGAGAGAGAAGTATGTATCAACACATGTTAGAAAGAGATAGAAGCCGACTCCTAACATATACTAAGTGACATATAAATCCGAACACCCAGTTTTAATGGTTTTATTTTGATAAAAGTTGGTGAATGTATTTATCTTACTGTAAATAACAAGTGAAAAAATGTTCAGCCTTATCAGTTGGACATTCCGGTTTTTATACTGCTTTTTTTTAATTCACTAACGCTCTAAAAATGAATATTTCAGCCGCAGTAAAGAATCAACGTTGACGGATTTTGGTTCTTGACATACTTTACGATCGGTTACGATGCCTAGAGTACGGAGACCTGCACGATTTCGTCAACTTAGTGAGTTTGATAGGGGCCGTACAGTGGGACTTCGGGAAGCTGGACTTTCTTTTCGGGCAATTGCAGTTAGAGTGCAAAGAAGTGTAGACACTGTGGTTAGGTGTTGTCAGGCATGGCTTCGAGAAGGCCATACGCAAAGAGCAAGGGGCACTGGACGCCGCCGTAGAACAACAGACCGTGAAGATCGCCGCCTAAGATTATTGGCCTTAAGGGACCGTTTCTCCACTACCAGGTCCATTGCAAATGAATGGTTTGCAGAACACGGAAGACCTATTGGCATGCGAAGTGTTTACCGACGAATGAGAAGTTTTGGCTTGTTTTCATACCGGCCACACTGGGTCCTCCCTTTAACTCGAGAACACCGACGTAATCGCCTTGAGTGGTGCAGACAACGGTCACTCTGGGATCAGGAATGGAACAGTATTGTCTTTAGTGACGAGTCTCGATTTTGTTTAGGCATGCACGATGGTCGTGCCAGGGTTAGAAGGCGACGTGGTGAAAGGAGGAATCCACAGTTTTTTGTTGAAAGACATGTTCATCACACTGTTGGAGTTATGGTTTGGGGTGCTATAGCTTATGGTTCCAGGTCATCTTTAATCTTCATCAGAGGTAACATGAACGCGCAGCGTTATATCCACGAAGTTCTAGAACCCTATCTTTTACCTTATCTTGACACCCTGGCAGATCCAACTTTCCAACAAGATAATGCCCGACCACATGTTGCAAGAGTCACAATAGACTTCTTTCAACATAATGATGTCACATTGTTACCATGGCCACCAAGATCTCCCGACTTATCCCCAATTGAGCACGTGTGGGATATGATGGGTAAGAGATTGCTCAATTTGCAACGTCCTCCTCAGACTCTAGAAGCACTTCGAGAGGAGTTGGTGGTTGCCTGGAATGAGATACCACAGGAGGACATTGACCACCTGATCAGAAGCATGCCTAGGCGCGTTGGAGAATGCGTAGCACATCAGGGTGCATCCACACATTATTAAAGGTCAAAGGGCTTTAAAGCAGTGCAATCACTTTGAAATTTTCATCATTTACTTATTATGCTTCATTAAGTACTTATAGAAAATTTTATTAAAATAAAACCATTTAAACTGGGTGTTCGGATTTATATGTCACTATACACACTTCTCACTCAAACACATTGAACTCAAGCCGTCAGACAAATTTGGTTCCCAGTTTATACTGAAAAGAAGAAAAACGTCACGTCAAAAAATTTGTCAAGTGGGACGACTTTTTAACCAAAAACTACTTCCCCCTGTCACCCTTTGCCCCCCAAAATTTTAATGGAAAGGGGTATCGATTAATAGCTTCTTTGAACGATCTTCCGAAGTCCCTTATTTTGAGGTTTGCTTTCTTAAAATCGGTTGATTTGTATTCAAGAAAATCAGAAAAATCCCTACTTATCTTAATTTGTTCAGATAGAAAACAAAAGCACACGAGAATATCACTTTTTACTTCAATAAGTGTTCAAAATGTTGCCCGTTATTGGCCAAATAATGATATAGGCGATGTTCAGACATTTTCAAAAACATATTGTGGGATATCATGGCAGCTTTCGATGATTTGATGAAGTTCATCCAAACTTTCAGGTTGAGGAGTAAACACAATAGATTTCAAACGGCCCCATAGAAAAAAGTCTGATGGCATCAAATGAGGAGATCTAGCAGGCCATTCTATAGGCCCTCTTCGCCCTATCCATTTATCTGGAAACTCGTCGTCTAGCCATTGCCGAACCAGAAGAACATAGTGAGGAGGAGCGCAGTCTTGCTGGAAATATATTTCAACGTCATCAAGTAAGATTTCCATCCTCTTCGATTTGGTTGTCATTGGTTTCAGTGATAAGCGAATTGATGGTATTTTCCAACATATTTAAATAAATGAGTCCATTCAAATTTCCTTTAATAAACAATGGCCCAATCACTTTGTTTCCTAGAATGCCTGAGCAAACATTATTTTTTTGAGGGTACTGGGTATGCCCCTCTACAAAAGCATGCGGATTTTCATTGCTCCAATACCTGCAGTTATGATTATTAACAAATCCATTTATGTGCATTCATCACTGAAGCAGCTATTCTATCATTGATGGCTGGAGTTTGTTCACAAAACTCAACTCGCCTATCAAAATCACCTTCGGTTATCTCTTGCAATATTTTCATTTTGCATGGATGAAATTTATGGAGTTAGTAACTGTGTGTACAGAGCCTAATTAAATACCAGTCGCAGCAACAATTTTGCGTAATGAAGTATTAGGATTTATATCAAAATGACCCAGAACATCAACTTGAGCTGCTTCATCTTAAAGTCTCCGATGATCACGTATAAATTTAGTAACAAGGCCCAAAAAATCTCTACATATGCGAATTTATCTTTCCCAGATGTCTGGCGTTAAACGTGATGGAGTTTGGCGAGCACATTCATTTTGGGCACCATAAATTAGAATCATTTAGACACTTTCGGCTAGTGTGTAAACCATTTTGGATGTAAAATCTGAATCAATAAGTTAATTTTCACTATCCCAAGATAGTCACAAGTGTAACTGACAGCAAATTAAATTAATTCTTTCTCTTAGCAACAAATAACTAAACAGGTATAACAATAAATACAGTTTGCCCAGGATATCTGTTGTTGACGAAAAGAATGTGGAAAAAATTCGGGTTGTAATTTGGTTGTTGCCACGCCTAATCTTTCGAATTGCTGTTTATGTTGGTAGTTTCCGGTTTAAATTATAAACGAATTGTAGATTCGACAAACCCTAGAGGGCAACATTTTGAACTCTTATTGAAATAAAAAGTGATATTTTCGTGTGTTTTTGTTTTCTGTCTGAACAAATTAAGATAAATAAAGATTTTTCCAATTTTTTCGAAAACGAATCGACTGATTTTAAAAAATCAAATGTCAAAAACCTGTCACACAAGCTGTTACTCGATACCACTTGTCACTTAAAATTTTTCAGGGAACGACCTTGGGGGGGGGGGCTTGAAGTAGTTTTTGGTTAAAAAGTTGTCCCCCGTGACAAATCGTTTGAGGTGTCTCGGCGTTTTTTCCTGTTAGTCAGTGGTTTTCGATAAATCCGTGGTGGGAAGTTTTCAAATGAACACCCTGTATGTGATAACATTGATCAACGTATTCTACCTGTAGATAACGAACCATGTATTATAACCTCCCGTTCGTAATAATTAGAACACACCTCATGGGTCAAAGCTTAAAGGAACTGAAATGGACATAGATATATAGGTTACTTCATGTTCTGTTGTTCGGTGTCATACGTGTTTCACAAGTTGACACTTCAATACTTAAATGGTGCTAGGAATTCAAAAATATTGCTTCGTCAAAGGATGCAATCTTCAGATTCTCACAATACATTCATCATCATCATCATCATCATTCATCAGTTGATATAATTCAGTAATGGTTAGCAGTGAGACAAGCAATCACAAACTTTGACAGTTTGTCAATTGAATCTAACAGTATGTCTGTGAAAGAGATTTTTCTGCACATGAGGTAGAGTTATCGAAAAGACAGGCAACCTCCCATTTTGCCACTCAATCTTGTCTTTGTACGAGGTTTGTCCGGAAAGTACGTATAAAAGCGGAATAATAACTTTATTTTACAATTGTTCAGGTATTTCAATATGGTCTCCTTCAAAGTGCTCCCCCTAACACAAGATGCACTTCTGATAAGATCGCTGAAAGTCTTCAATTGTGAGGCTCTTCATTTGCCGTGTCGTTTCTGCCTTGCTTCCACATCCTCAAGGGCCGCGCCTGAAGCACCACTTTGCATTTTGGGAACAGGAAGAAGTCGCAAGGGGCCAAATCAGATAAAAAAGGCGGGTGCTCTGTCACGGTGATTGAGCTTCGGGCCAAAAACCCACGCACAACGAGAGACGTGTGAGCAGGCGTGTTGTCTTGATGAAAGATCCACTTGCTCCCCTGTGCCAAATCCGGTCGAACTCGGGCCACACGAGCCCTGAGAACGCAAAACTCCAATGTAGAAATTTCCGTTCGCTGACTAGCCGGGAGGGACAAATTCCTGGTGAGCAATGCCCCGAGAATCAATGAAAACAATCAACATTGTTTTCCCAGTGGACCTTCATTTTTTCGACTGTTTTGTTCTCCGTTCCCCTGCTTGCTCCCACTCCATGCTTTGACATTTCAGCTCCACATCGAATTCGTAGAACCAAGACTGGTCTCCAGTGACGAACAGGTTCAGAAAGTCCCCCTTTCCTCTGCTTCCAATCAATCCTCACAGCAAGCAACCCTCCTTGCTTCCTGTTTTGGACTCAGGAGCTTCGGAACGATTTTCGCGCACAATTTTTTCACGCCAAGTTTTTCTGTCAGAATTTCGTGGGATTGACAATTCGTCAGCTATCATTCTAACTGTCCTTCGACAGTATTTAGGGACACAGCCCCGAATTCGTTCAACATTTCCCTCGGAGCTCAAGGTGGAGGAGCGTTGGCCATTTTTCACATGTTCTCGGCTTTCCCGAAACCATTTGAACCAATTTTGTTGGCGGTTGGTTCCTTCAGAGAATTGAATCCGTAAACATGTTCCTAACACTAAAAAATCTCACGACCATTCTTGCCTAGCGTTGCAAGAAACTTGATGGTGATGCGCTGTTCCTCGATCAGAGAGAGCTCTCCATGCCGACGGCAGGTAAAAAATTGGTTACTTTCAACAAGCACACGTAAATCCTACTTACTCGCAGAGGCTTCCGGCCACGGTTGAAAAAAAAAACATGAATTTTTTATTTTATACAAAACATGTTTTTTTGTTTTAAACGCTTTTGTTTGCTTTAAACATGTTTTTTTTTGTTTTTAAATATTATGTTTTAAACAAATAAAACTTAGAAAAAAACATTGTTTAACTCATATTTTTTCATAATGTTAATTGAAAATGTTCGATCTGTTATTCTACTAAATCATAGATACCTTATTTAAAGTCCGACTCTGTACTAAACTGTCGCGATCAGCTATTTCGAACTACGTCACGCCACGCCGTTGTTAGGCTGTGCCGGGGAATCCCCGAAATAAGAACACCAATTGCAATGAGGAACTATTGGCCAGGGGGAACCACATACTACTATTTATAAATTCGCCTTGCAAGTTGGCTATTGCAATAACGTCTACTGTAAGTTACCTTGTGGGGTTCTAATTTTTAACAATGTTCTCTACATGAAGGAAGAAAGATACCATTTGGTCCTATTTTGATTTTGTTAAAGATAATAACAAAAAATCGGTGACTGCTAAATGTAAAAAATGTAAAGTAATTATGGCTGGACTAGTGCTGCGAATGAAGAAACATATTCAAAAATGTGTTCATCTGAAAATTCTCAGCCACCAATCTATGATTCCGAGTCAGATGATGATATAACGCTAGATGAGATATCCAAAACTCCAAAAAATTTAAAGAATGTTTACCCAGATAATAATACAGCTAACTTTGAATTTTAAATTTTTACCAATTTAAAGACAAATGCCCAAGACTATTAAAAAAAATTAAAGTATGTCGCACTTGATTTGGACAAAGCTCAAAGAAACACTTGCACTATAGGAGAGGCTACAGAGATATGGCTAGAATTTTTAGAAGCACTCGAGACTGAACAAGCAAATGGAGAATTTTCGGTAAGTGATACGAATAAAGTGAGGAGCGTATGAAAATGGCTATGACCCCAGCTCATTTTTTGGCAAATTTGCTTGATCATCGTTTTAGAGGCAATAAACTTAGTCAAGAGCAATTGGAAACTGGCATGGAATATGTAGAAACGTATCATCCAAAAGCATTGCCAATTATTATTAGTTACCAGGCAAACTTTACTACCTTTAAACCATATATATTTTCTAAACATCTAATTGAGAATGTAAAACCACTCGCATGGTGGCGTTCTATGAAAAATATAAATACCACAGCCTCGGAACTTGCTCAACAGCTTCATACAGTTATTGCATCGTCATCCAACATAGAAAGACTCTTCTCATCATACCAAAACTACGTAATCGGCTAAGCAATGTCAAAGCTGCTAAGTTAGTATCAGTTTGTAAAGAGCTTAATTCCATCAGTGATGACGTGACTGATCAGATATCAGATTGATGACTTAGATGACTATAAGACTGAAAGAGCGTGGGGATTTTGTTAACGTATACAAAATGTTTAAGTTTTCCAATTTGTGTTGTGTTCCTATTATTAATAAATAAATATTTATCTTAAAAAGTTTGTATAATGTATTTGAGAACATTTCATATTTTAATTTATTATATTAATAAAGAAAATGAAGAAAAAAACGCTTGTTTAAGTGTTTAAACATGTTTCAAACAAAAACTGTTTTAAACCTAAGCGAATATTTAAAACATGCTTAAAACTATTCATTAAAACAAAATGTTTAAGATGAAACAACTCTGGTTCCGGCTCGAACTGAGCATAAAGGAGATTGCATAGAAAGAGGGAACCACTGGGACGCCCCGAATTTTGCGGACAAACCTCGTACTTTATTTTCTCCAAATCATAAAATACAGTTTTGATAAGCAACTAAAACACAAGAGATAGCGTCCCTAACACATTTTTTTACACTGGCCCTCCGTTCTAAAAAGGGTGTTCTGCGACATAGCCATGACAAATTCTCATAGATGATGCCAGGATACCTCATTTCATCTCTGATAATTTTTAAAAATCGAAATACATGGATTGCTATCTTCAGGTAGAATACCCTAATCAATGGGCATAGTTAATGAAGTCAAACGCAATGAAATGAAAAATTTTACCTTAGCTACAGTGGAGTCAATATTCCCAATATATCTTCCATCAATGACAACAGTACTCTTCTCCGTCAAGCAATTTTGCAATATGAATTCTCTAAAATATTCCGCCGCAGTATAGTACAAGCCAGTTTTGGGTTTTATCATATACACGTTGGGCAAATGTTCTTCCAAGTCTAGCTTTGGTCTTGCGGAAGCGTACAATACGAAAGTCATATTGATAGCTATGCCAATCAGAATTCCGTATTCAAGGTTGATCAGAAGACAGAAGAATAGCGTTGCTGTCAAAGGAACTAGGTCCATCTCTGCAAAATAGTCGAAATATAGGTTAGATGGATCGATATTGTTTCATATAGGTACCCTATTTCATGAGTATCCATCACGATAGAATGGTTATCTAGTAATATTTCAAATTCCAGATATCGGCAAAGGACACGTAATTCTGATGGATCCGTCAATGCCAGGTAAACAGAGCCATATTTTGTTTTAATTTTTTGTACGCTACAGACTCATTTTGTACTTGCTAAAAGCTCTTTTATTTAGAAAAGTTCATTTGCATAAAAAAACAAAACGCCACAAACAAATTTTTGTTAAATTTACACCCGATTCATTATAGCCAAAGTTGCAGACTAACACAAAACTGCCACTAGCTGATTAGCTGTTCACCTCAGTAGACGTCAAAGCGTGATGGATACTCGTGAAATAGAGTATACCTATTCATCAAAAATACTTAAAATGGGTTCGTTGCATAAATTTAAATTTTATGATTATTCGATATATTATTGAATCCATAATACAGGGTGGCCCCACTATGCGAAGACATAATATTGCCCCTTAACAAACAAACAAATAGGGGTGCCCCAATTTTTACCCACATATCAAAGTTAATTTTATTTAAATGGAATGCCCCACTTCTTATTATAATTTCAAATAAAAGGAGGTTGATTTAACCTACTTGTGGATTTTGATAATCAATTGTTGAGCTATTTGGTATGTTATCTAAAAAAAAACATCAAAGTTTGATAGTCTGTTTACCTGCTATCTTGACAATTGGAGTAAAGGTGTCAAAAATATCTTATAATACTTAGTTTTAGTCTAATTGATTAATTTTTCAAATTATTTGAATGATCAATATCCCTGTATATTTTGAATTATCGGATTCCAATTTTCATGAGCTTGTTTTGTTGTTACCAGTTTGTTCAAACGGTTTCTGCGTTAAAGCTGTTTGTTTAAAAAAAATTGGATATTTCTTTATTCAAATAAGTCACGGCATCCATAGAAACAAAAAACAAGTAAGGGATTATTGACAATCTATCTACAAAATCAGGCTTTCATCAATAAATCAAGTAATTTAATGCTTTTGTGTTGTAACTCATTATTACAGATTGAAATAATATAAAATTAATTTTTGAGATGTCGGAAAAGCTTTCTTTGCATAGTTTTTGTTTGGGAGCCATACTCCGTCCTGGCACGGTAGGGACACCCTGTATACTAAATAGCCTTCCTCTTGCCGATTCCTAATAGGCCCCCTGAGAAACATTTCTGCGGGCGCCCATGGCTACACCCGGGTTTCAACTATCAGGCGTATTTAAGCTAACATTTCGCTAAGGATCTGATATCGTTAGATTCAGTTGGACTTTGACAGGTGCATCAACAAAAGAAAGTCACTTAATCTCTATATATTCAGGAGTAAACGGTTTTAGACCTATTTTTTCAAAACCCATCAATTAGAGAGGTCTTAGGCCTGTATCGTCAGTCGTTCCTACAATTGCAGGACGCCTTTATAGCCTCCTTGATTGTCATAGTTTTATACTTTTCCGTGTCAGCGCTCTATTTTGAGGTTATGTCACAAATATCTATTTGCATCAAATTGTGCATGTTTTTGATTTGCATCATGTTTTATCAGCCTACAATTTAAAAAGAAAACATATCTTCACAATAGGAGAGCGCTGACGCTGACATAGAACAGGGGCAATCTAGAAATTTTTGAAGGAGGGAAAGGAGTATGACAATCAAGGAGGCCATAAAGGCGTCCTACAATTGTAGGAACGACTGACGATACGGCCCTAAAAGGATCTATAAGTCGTATTGTAGGGATGTTCGTTGCGATCCGATATTTAGAAATATCGATACTTTTGCTTCCGATACCCCATATTTTGGATCGATATTTTTATATACGATACTTGGGTGAGTCGATACATTTCACGAGCATCGTTATATCTCAATCCGGCTGTGTCAGAAAGAGTGATTAACTTTAGGATTACTTTTGTTCTTTGTTTCCTTCCGCTGGTGCTGCTCACTTCATGACCTCACATAATTTATTTTGGATTCCAGGATATTAGAGGGGTTTTCCCAAAAGTAAGGAGCTTTTATTTCAACGGGGAAGATTTTGAAGATATTTTTTTCTGGGGATTTCTTTTGGGGAACCGTATTTAACTGGGTAGGTATTATTATGTAAAAATTTATTAATGACATTGCATAATGTACTTGTTATGTATTTGTCTTCCGAATCAAAACAAATATTTTTACCTTTTGGGGTATTTAGCAACATACAAAAAGATGTCGCTCAAAAAAGTATTTTGAGATCCAAGAATACCTTACAAATTCTAAACCTCTGGTTACAAAAAAATAAATAGTTTTCTTGGGATTTTTTTTTGAAAAGTCTTGTATTTAGGGAATTTTTACATTTCGACTGGGGAAACTGACCAAAATGACCTGGCAACTCTGTCGGATTCGGTTTAGGGGAATTACACACACAACATGACACAAGTGCTTTTAGTATTGATTGATAAACATTATAGTTTAAAACAAAAAATTATCCCTGATATTTATTGTTTTACCTATTTTTTTTTTAGTGAACGCATTTGACAGTCTAGGCATGCAGTTGGAAAAAGTAAACATTATTTTGAGGGTTGTAGAAAGAACAACTTAAATTTTCGGCAGTGCATGTTCCGAATCGATATTTTAATTCCGATATTTCAGAGCAGTGGTCGCCAACCCGTCGATCACGAGCTACCGGTAGCTCGCAAATGCAATTCTGGTGGCTCACAGCATATTTTAAAAAGGTATCAAAATCATAGAAGCTTCCGTAATTTTGTAAATTCTCATAATAAACACAAGCAGCGGTAACACTGCGGTGAGCGATCTGTTCGAGAACGATCTCGATTACTTTGAACGGCATAAATACTCAAGGCGCGGCGATAGTGCGCTAAGTTTAAAACTGAACGGCACAAAGTCCAGCGGTTGGGTTAGAGCTGGCTTGCATTTAAAAACATTATGAGCAGTAGCAAGAAGATGAAGACATACCATCGGAATGGGAAGAACAACATTTCTTTACAGCAATTAAATGTAAAAATGTAAGTTTGTTATGTTTTACATCTGTTTCCGTTGCTAAAAAAGGGAATATCGAGAGATACTATAAAACTTTACATTCGAATTTTGAAAAATCATTTACCATTGCGTTCTGCAACCAGAACGGAAAAACTCAAACAATTAAAAAATCAGTTAATTGGACCACAGACAATGTTTTTAAAAACAATCGACAAAAGTAAGGCTGCAACTGAAGCATCATACCGGGAATCCCAGATAATTATAATTATAATAAACACATGTATCTCGCATACAACTGTGTATAATTTCATTTAAGTTGGTTTACATTGCTTACGACTAGGTAGCTCACTGTTAATTCCAAAATTATCAATGTAGCTCAACACACTGAAAAGGTTGGCGACCACTGTTCTAGAGTATCGATACTTCCTAAAAAGATACGAATCGATACATGGTATCGATACTTTTTGTGGATCGGAACATCCCTATCGTATTGTTTTCACTCGACAACAGTGTTGCCAGGTGTCGATGATATGTTTTCGGTAGATTTGTGCGAAATTTTGCGGTAGACGGTAAACCAAAAAGCAAAAACTTGCTGATTGAAAATTGAACAGGAGGAGGATCTTGTTTCAGCTCCACTCGGTTTTGAAAGTTGAGTGCGGGGTGGGGGGTGAAATGCTGTTATTTGGAAAATTGAAAAAGCGGAAAGTTGCATCAAATTCCACTAATCGAAAGTTGAAGAGCAGGCAGATAGCAAGAGACTCTATTTTCTTGTATTCTTCGTTGAATTATGTCAAAAATATACTATTTAAGAATTTGAGGAAATTTCGCATTAAAATCGGTACTTCAGTAGAAAAGGACTAAAGTCTACCGAAAAATCGTTAGACCTGGAAACACTGCTCTACATGTTGAAAATGTAAAGCTAAGTATCCCTCAGAAAAGCACGAATAAGCTGGTAGCCTAAACTAAAATTTTATGGTCGCGGCTCTGACTGAAACTACACTTGTTTGGACCATTCTTTCTAACATACATGTTCCTCGCTTCTCTCGCTCTCTCTCTCTCTAGCACACGTTGAAGTTGACCGTGGGAAATTTGTATGGCCAGCATTGAATATTTCATAGTCATCATAAGAAATTAAAGAAACTCACTTTTACTCTTCCACATCATCATGAACGCTTGAAAATTGCAAAGATAGTACATAGCAACAACAATAACACCAGCTAAGGATGCTTTAGGGATGTACTGGAAGGTACTGGTGAGAAATCCCAACGCGAGAAGTACCATGGCACCAGTGATTATGCCACACGCTGGGGTTCTAGCTCCGGATGCATTGTTAATTGCTGTCCTCGTAAAGGACCCTGTAACTGGCATGGATTGCACGAAGGAGGACATTATGTTAGAGAACCCCAAGGCTATCAGTTCTTGGGATGCGTTCAGGGTCTTGCCTTTAGCTGAAAAAGAGTCGGACTATTTTTTATTACAGGTTATCGTCGAAAAGTAGTACAGTCTGCGAAAATTCGCCAATTTTGGCCTAACATATAAGGTTAAACATCTCTTTAAAATGAAATAACCTCAAAATACTCTTCGGGGTCTTGTAAAGTATGGTTTAAACTTTGATTCAGATATTGGCGACATGAAAAAAAAACGGTAATCTTATAAAAATAATGTTTAAACAAATCTGATCTGTGTTACCGTGCGGGTATATTCAATGTTTAAAAACATAACTTTTGAGGTCGCCAAATATCTATATTAGAAATTAAAACCTTGCTCTACAAAACCTTGAAGACTGTTTTGCGACTGATTCATTTTAAAGCGAAGTTTTGGTTCTCTTAGGCCCGTATTGTCAGTCGCCCCTACAATTTTAGGGCGCGTTTATGGCCTCCTTTCTCTCCTTCAAAAATATCTAGATTACACTTGTCCCGTGTCAGCGTCAGCGCTCTCCTATTGTGAAGATATGTTTTCTTTTTAAATTGTAGGAAATTGATAAAACATGATATAACTCAAAAGCAAGCACAATTTGATGCAAATAGATGTTTGTGACATAACCTCAAAATAGAGTTCTGTCACGGAGAAGTAGAAAACTATGACAATCAAGGAGGCCATAAAGGCGCCCTACAATTGTAGGGACGACTGACGATACGGGCCTTAGACCGTACATTACATACCTAGGTTGAGAAGTGAGCTATTATGGCCTTCTCAAACAAGGTATACAGGGTGAGTTTTTAGTGTGCGCTAGGTTAGGTCGATAGCTCCGTCATTACGCATGGTATCTAAAAAAGTTGAATACATAATTTAATGTATCGTTTGGTTGGGATTACGGAAGAAGGTAGACGGTCCGGTAATAACGGATATATTCAACACACTAAATAAATACAAATTGAAATTAACGACCTTTGTTAGCGCGGAACATGGGGATTGTAGTGTTATAGTATCCGATACAGCAGAGGGCGGAATGCGCAAGAACTATTGATAACAAGGACAAAGGTGTCGGTCGTTGCTCTATATTATTGTTCCGTGATGCTCCCGAGAGATATTGTCACTACACAAAAATTGTAGCTGTTAATATGTCTCGGATTTGGAAAATATTTTTAATTGGTGGTGACCCAAAACACACATTTTTTTGAATGGCAAGACCTACACACTTTATTGCAAATTCGGAAGTGCCCTTCCAATTAATATTTTGATTAACTGTATTTTTAAATTGTTGAGGTATTGGGCGATCTATCGAAAACACACTCAACTTTGAGAACTCGCACTTCCGCAAATGTTATAGTTAGAGAACAAAAATTTTCGTCAGAAAAATTTCATGAGCCCATATTTTTAGTTAGTGTATACAGGGTGGTCAAAAACGCATAATGAACGATTCAAAATTTTCAAACAATGTATTTCCAGAGTTTTTGATTCCCATTTTTACAACCTTTTTTCTGATAAGTTTTTTGGGGGGGGTTTGAGTTACTAAAAATACACGGACGCCTACTTGACTGTCCGACTTTATTGCATAAGGTTAGGCAAATATAATTTATAATGAAAATATGTACACAAGAGGTTAACTGTAAATCAAAAACCATTTGTGCAGAGTCCCATAGACCTTATATAAAAAAGTTTGTGAAAAGGGGAATTAAAAGTGTGAAAATATACAGAATGTTCCGTTCGAAAATTTTGAGAAAACGTTCAATCTGAGTTTTTGGCAACCATAGTCACTCGAAAATACTGAAATAGTAAGTGGATTGGAAAAAAAAAATTTGGATCATAGAATTCTTCTAAAGAAAAATTCATTAGTTTAGCTGTAACAGTTACGAAGGTGCGGGTTGTCAAAGTTGTGCGTTTTTCGATAGATTGTTCAATATCTCAACAATTTAGGCTCTATGTTATATAAAATTGCTTCGTTTGGAAGGGCCTATCCGAATCTGCAATAAAATATAGGTCCTTCTATTTAAAGGAATGTATGTTTGGGTTCCGACGTAGTTATGTATCACCCGGTAGAAATAAAAATATTTTCCAAGTAAGGAGCATACTGTTGGCTGCATTTTTTTATCAACTTTTTAGATGACATGCTTAATAACAGAGTAGCTGACCGAGCCTCACATTAAAAACTCACCCTTGTATACCGGGTGATTCTCCAAGGTCGCTCACCCCTATAACTTTTTTATTTTTGTGGATACAAAAACGAAATTTGGGGGTTGTATATTATAGATGAATTTAGATTTTTTGACATATTAATTTGTTTTAGCATATTTCCGGTTTGACCGGAAACGTTACAACATTAGATTTTCAAATGGGACACCCTATATATTTTTACTCATTTCGATCGAGAATGGCATTCTGAGCTCAACAACGCCTCACTTGTTAATATTTGACAAATGAATTCACTTTTATTTCAATTTTTATTTTTCGATCTAGGATGCCAAGGATCCTGTAAATCGCTTCATTTTTGATCAAGTAACAGGGGAAAATTATGATTTTGAGGCTAACAACCTTACAGTCGTCGGTTAGGAAGATTTTCTAAAAGTTACAAAAAATTCATTTTCACTATTTTTCTGAATAATGTTAAGAACCTAACAACAAATAATATGTGCATATCTTCATTCGATATGCACTAAGACCTATTATTCTCGTTATCCGTGACAAACAATTGAAGGTGTTGCCAGGGTTAGTTCAACAAGTACTGTCAGTTTTAAAAATGTATTTGTTACGTAGTTAATTTACAATGGAAAACTATAATAGAAACGAGAAAATTGACATGCTGTTGATTTACGGAAAAGCAAGAAAAATGCAACTGAGGCAGGTCGAATTTATTCTCCATCGGATGAATAACTTATGTCACATTCTAAAACAATTTGCTAAATTGATGCTGCACAATTTACTTCAACATAGGCCATCTCGTCTACTTCTTTTTCTTCAATGACGATAAACTTATTGGAATTTTCTTCTGGTTCATTTCGCATTTTGTGTTCCAGTTTTGGAAAATAATGCCGAGTGGGATGGCCGCGATTGGGCAATCTCTGGGAGTTAATTCGAGGCGCCTCAGTTGCATTTTTTCTTGCTTCCCCGTAAATCGACAGCATGTCAATTTTCTCGTTTCTAGTATAGTTTTCCATTGTAAATTAACTACGTAACAAATAGATTTTTAAAACTGTTAACATGTTTAATAACCTAGATTAGGTACTTGTTGAAGTAGAATAATAGGACTTAATGCATAGGTATACCGAATGCAGATACGTATTATTTGTTGTTAGGTATGGTCGATTCTTAGTATTATTCAGAAAAATAATGAAAATAAGAGTGTGTAGTGTCAAATTATTCGTAAGAAAATGGTCACTTAGAAAACGCCGACGAGCCACCCCCTTTCTATTTGAAAAAATCCAAACTTATAAAATTGGTCTTTGTAACTTTCAGAAAATCTTTAAAACGACTGTAATGTCGTTCATTCGTTTCCATGTTACTTGATCAAAAATGAAGCGATTTACAGGATCCATGGAATTCTAGATCGGAAATAAAAATGGAGATAAAAATGACTTTGTCAAATATTGACGTGTTGTTGAGTTCCGAATGTCGTTCTTGATCGAAATAAGTAAAAATATATAGGGTGTCCCATTTAAAAATCGAAAATTGGAGTCGTTTAAAAAAATGTAAATTCATATATAATACGTAAACCCCAAATTTCGTTTTTCTAGCTTCAATAATAAAGAAGTTATAGGGGTGAGCTACCTTGGAGAATCACCCAGTATAGATTTTTTACTACCAACACTACACTAATAGACTAAACAACTTGCGAGAGGTGGCTCACTAGCTGTTTATCCACCATTTTTTTGAAATCTTGAGATTTTGGCTGCAAAAACGTCCTGTTATTTCGTATAGATACAGGTTTTTGAGAAAAACACTCTTGTTTCAATACAGGTCTATCAATAGTCTACTGGATCAAGAATACTCGTTCCCTTATTTTGAAAATATAGTGATTATGATAATAGGTAATCAGTGATTCAAAAAAGCCCAGGGATATGCATTTTCAGATGTCTTAATCAAATATTAGATTTTTGTCGAACATTTGGGGATCATGAAATCGTGTGAATACTATAAATCGATAGAGGCGGTATTGAAACAAGATTTTTTTTCAAAAGCTGCTCATTTTATCGAAATCAAACAAAAATACTTTTTTCGCTAAATGTCAGCGTTAATGCGTTAGGGCTAGTACTAGCCTGTCCAAATTTTGTTGAATTGTGCAGTGTCGTATAAATTTGTACAATATACATTTATACTGTATACAATAATCGATAATGATCTTTCTACGATTAACATAGAAAATAACATAAGGATACTTACAAAATGCTTTAGCTATAGCGATATGTTCTAAAATTGCAATTAGTGGGCAAAATATCACCAAAGCTCCATAATTTTCCATCATGTCCGTGAAAGAATAGTACGTTCCGTTGTAAGTAGTACTGAATGATGGTAAAGTGAAATTGGGCAGACCACCGTCCACATTTCCTACACAGACCAACATAGATATAGTTTGAAAACACAAGCAGGGTTGATTAATATGAAGAAATTAAATCAAATCCAAACCTAAAGAAACGACAAAAAAGCATTTTATCTAAACATTGCTTGAATCTGGTGGAGAAATAAACGTTGTTTATTGCCTATTACTTTCGCAGTTTTTATATACTTTTCGCCTTTTTTAGAAACTGTGAAGCATGCATGTACATTTCTTAGAATCACAGATCACAAAATCTCATGGTGTATCTCTCCAGGATGTCGGTAATTAGGTGGTTCCACCAGTATAGTTATAATAATTATTATTAAGATATTTATTAACATGCTAATCCTGAAGTGATTTGTAGTACCTGTGAGCTTAAAAGGCTGATATCCCTGTTGAGCGAAACAATAAGCCATGGCAGAGGCAATTATGACAGCAATAGCGTTACTGGCCAATGAAAACAAATATATGCAAATTCCAATTGTGTTTCTTCTAGATGTCCATTCCGGACGCCGTTTTAAAGTACCATATCTTCTAATTTCCTGGAATCAGATGTTATATTAATTTGTGTAATAGGTTTTTCTTCCTTCGTGTTAATAAAATTACGTTTAATTTGTAAACATCGAAAGTTGTTCATCATTTCTTCACAGGCACAAAAGTGTCTTGATCCCGAAAATTTAAAAAAATGTTTTCTTGACATAGCATGTTGTACAGGGTGTCCAATTTTCGATGATATTACGGGGTATCTCGCTTACGAGCGAAGATAGAGAGTTGCAGTTTCCGCAATACTGTGCTACTTTTTTGTGAAAATACAGAATAAAATTTTCATAGCCACCTCCGTTTCTGTGACACAGGGCTTTTTGGGACTCCTCTCATATCTCCGATATCCTTCAACATATCGCAGAGCTAAAAGCTGGCTTTCACACAGTTTTTTACGTAGAATGCAATGACGTAATCAAATGCTTGATGTGAACTGTCAATTTTTAGCTATAAATCAAACTTTTCATCAATGAGACACCCTGTATATTTTTTCTCGTTGGATTGAACATTTTATAAGCTTTGCAGAAATACATATGTAACACATGTATGTTAAATTGTAAATCAAAAATTCATAATTTCAGAAAATGTCCATATCTAGTACATACCTTCACTATTATCATAGTTTTTTTTATATCGAAGCAGCCGCGCAGGCACAAGCCTAAATGCCGGAACACGCGGTTGCTATGATAATCGCAAAGAAATTTTATTAATACGATTTTTGAACTGCCTAAGGTTAATAGAACTGCGAAAAGCTTCCTCTTGTAGATTGTTCCACAATCGCGACACCCTCGAGACAAACGAGCGGTCGTATCGGCCGGTTCTGGATGTACGAAGTTCGACACGGTTAGGATGGGACACCAAAGTCAGACGGGTCTGTCTGGCAGGCACATCGCGGTAGAAAAAAGCTAGATCGCCGACAACCCGCCGGTGCAAAAAAGTCCCGAGACTGTCTGTTAGAGAAGAGTCATCGATCAGTCGGACCGCCCTCCTCTGGACGGCATCGAGCATGGATAATGTAGTCGAGGCGGCAGCACCCCAAACGTGTGAGCAATACTCGATGTGTTCGTGCCAGATCAGGTCCTCGGTGATCTGGACTCCGACCAGCCGAAATTAATGGCTCTTTGGCAGAACTCGACCATCCATCGAAGCCGGGTAAGCGCAGGGACCCTTTTTGTTCGTCAAAGTACAGTGCTTTGTTTTGGAAGCATTGAACTATACAAGATTGTTGCGTCCCCAAGCAGTGATAGCCTCCAGGTCTCTTGACAGAGAGGAAGTCATCGCTAGTCTTCTTTTTTCCAATTCAGCGGCAGAGATCGGCTTATCACTCTGAATTCCTGCATGTAGAGTGCTGTCATCAGCGAAGCTGTGGATTGGGTTGATCGTGCAGGAAAGGAGGTTTGATATGTAAGAGAAACAGTGTCGGACCCAAGACCGATCCCTGGGGAACACCCGCGATGACGTTGTGGGATGAATGGAGAACCCGTCAATTTTTCTGGGAGGCCATAGGGTGGAAGTTTGCTTAAAAGGGCAGCGTGCCACAGCTGATCGAACGCTTTCGTGATGTCAAGAGCAACGACATGAGCCTCACGATAAGACTGGATGAGTTTACTCCACAATTGAGTGACGTAAGCTAGGAGGTCCCCTGTGGATCGTTGGTGCCGGAAACCATACTTCCTGTCGCTAATCAAGCTGTGACGTTCGAGGTAGTCCAGAAGCTCGCGATTTATGCACCTCTCCATCACATTACTTAAAACAGAAAGCAGAGCTATAGGCCTGTAGTTGTAAGAGTCGGTCTTAGATCCCTTTTTTGGGATGGGTTGGACATGATCAAATTTCCAGTTTTCTGGGAAGGTGCCAGATTCATAAGATATCTGGAAGAGACGCGAAAGAACTGGAGCAAGCTCCGGTGCACACCTCTTCAGTACAATGGCAGGAATCAAGTCCGGACCAGAAGCTTTGTTGATGTCGAGCGACAAGAGCACTCGTCTTACGGTCTTGTGCCTGAATGTTACTTCCCGCATAGTGTAGGGAACCCTTTGAATTGACGGCACTTGGGCATTGGGGGGGACGTCCATGGTGGAGTTGGCAGCAAAGTCTTGGCTAGCACTTCCGCCTTGGCCTTTGAGTTGAATACAATAGTTCCATCCTGACACGTAAGTGGTGGAAGGCTACTGTGTGAGAAGTTGTTTTCAATCTGCTTGGCCAGTGTCCAGAAAGACCGACTGCCATTGCGCTGCGACATTACCCTGTGCCTAACTTTTATATCGTGCTGGTTTTTGGCATTGCGAACCGCATCGTTATATTTGTTTCTGGACTCGACGTCGGCTTGTCTGTTCTCTACAGTGGGGTTTTGTAAGTAGGTTCTGTGTGCCTTGATCTTCTGCTGGCGAGGAGTGTCACACGATTTGTTGAACCAGCCGTTGGACCCTGGTTTAGGAACTTTCACTGTATGAGGGATGTATTCCTCCATTCCGACGTGGATAATTTCGGTTATTGAAGAACAGACAGTCGACGCATCCGCGTCAGTGAAACAGACATCTCTCCAAGGAAAGCTGGAGAAGAAGTCTCTGAGCCCCTCCCAGTCGGCATGTCCGCAATGCCAAGTTTTGCGACCTGTGCGAGTTTCTGCTGCCACAGCGGCTTCTGACCGAAACCTAACCTCCACAACACCGGGATCTGAGTTACCCAGGGGGGACAGGACAGCAGTGGTGTAAGGGACAGGATGCGTGGTCAGAAAGAGATCCAGCAGGCTACTGGCGTGTGACGAGACGCGGGGGAAAAAAGTAGGGCTCGTCACCAGCTGGGTCAGCCCTTGAGTAAGAGCGAACGCTTCGACTGCACGACCTGCTGCATCGGTCTTATTTGAGCCCAACCAAAGCTCATTATGGTCATTGAAATCAACGAGAAGAACTACCTCTGAAGCGGGGTGATTGATGTTCAGGAAGTCGATCTGGACGGCGAGGTATTCGAGTAGGTCATCCCAGTTATGGTTCGACGGAGAGCGATAAAGGCAGCAAATAAATTTGGGTGATGTTTTGGAGTTGAGGCGAAGCCACAGAATGTCCTTCCGGTCTGATTCCAAAGAAAGATCCCTGGAGCAGGAAAGACTGCTGCGGACAAAAGCCACAACTCCCCCGTTCTTTCTCAGATTGGAGTGCACCTCGTAGTTTGGGAAGTTGAGATGGTTAATCGGTGCAGTCTCTGAGATTCTTGTCTCCGCCAAGAAAAGCACGGCGGGACGATTGGATTGCAGGTAGTGATGAACAGCATCAAAGTTGCTGTTGATCCCGCAGATGTTCGAAAAACAAATTTTATCTTCGATGTTGTTCCCTCGAGCCCACCCTCCACCCAGACATTCCGAGAGTGGAGTGAGTTTACATCCGGAGTTCTTAGTGCTCGAGGGATCCATCATCATTAATTTCTTTGTTTTGGTAGATAACCGACTGCATAGCTTAGGTGTGGAAACATGCGGACATTTATAAGACACCCTGGGAAAAGCTAGCGCGTGGTACTGCCTCGGTCGACTGGTCCTTGTCTACCACGTTCTTTTTACGTGTTAGTGATGTTAAATAGACCTAAAGTGGCCCATTGGCGGACTTGTACCGCCATCCGGCAATCGGTACTGAGGTGTTCCTTAATGCGTTGAACGGGAAGAAGTTGTATACTGGATACAACAACTTCCGGAACAAGCATTTGCCACGGCCCCGCTCAGTAGGAAAAAATGTGTGTATTAATATAGTAATAGTAGGCCTTGACTTTCTTATACAGTGTGTTCCTTTGAAAACTTCTCACCACGGATTTATCGAAAACCACCGATGAAAAGAAAAAACTCCGAGACACGTCAAAAGATTTGTCAAAGGCGACAACTCAGGGTATCGAGTAATAGCTTGTTTGGAAGGTCTTTCGAAGCCCTTCATTTTGACGTTTGATTTTTCAAAATCATCGATTCGTTTTCGAGAAAATTAAAAAAATCTTTCTCTTAATTTGTTCAGATAGAAAACAAAAACACACGAAAATATCACTTTTTATTACAATAAGTGTTGAATGTTGCCCGTTAGGGTTTGCCAAATCTACACTTTGTTTATAATTTAAAACAGAAACTACCAACATAAACAGCAATTCGGCAGATTAGACGTGGCAGCAACCAAATAACAACCCGAATTTTTTTCCGCGTTATTTTCACCAACACAAATATCCTGGGCGAGCTGTATTTATTGTTATAGCTCTTTAGTTATTTGTTGCTGAGGGAAAGAAATAATTTAATTTGCTGTTAGTTACCTTTGTGACAGTCTTGGGATAGTGAAAATTAATTTATTCAGATTCTACTTCCAAAATGGTTTACACGCTAGCCGAAAGAGTGGAAATGATTCTAATTTATGGTGCCCAAAATCAACGTGCTCGCCAAACTGCCGTCAAGTTTAACGCCGGACATCCGGGGAAGATAACTTCGCATAGGTATGTTTTGGACCTTGTTACTAAATTTACTCAAACTGGATCTGTTGCAAATAAAAAACGTGATCATCGGAGAGCTTTGGATGAAGCCGCTCAAGTTTTGGATCATTTTGGAATAAATTCTAATACTTCATTACCCAAAATTGTTGCTGCGACTGGTATTTCATTAGGCTCTGTACACACATTTACTAAACTCCATAAATTCCATCCATTCAAAATTAATATATCTCAAGAGTTAACCGAAGATGACTTCTATAGCCGAGTTGATTTTGTGAACAAATAGCCGCAGCGATTAAAGATAATACCATGCATGTAAAGAATATCTGCTTCAGTGATGAATGCACATTTTATCTGAATGAATTGTTAATAAACATAACTGCAGGAATTGGAGCAATAAAAATCCTCATGCTTTTGTAGAAGGGCATACCCAGTAACCCCAAAAAATTAATGTATGGGCAGGCATTTTAGGAAACAAAGTGATTGGACCATAATAAAACTAAACAAAACTTGTAATACTTCATCTTAATATTAACATAAAATTAACCTTGATATTAACAGACTTTTATATTAAAGGAACTGCTGAAAATGGTTGCCATTTTCTTGAACACAATGTAGCCATATGGTGGTTATTCTTTTTAAAGCATTTAAGACAATTATAAGTTTTTAAATGTCGCATTGGTGGCATTACGTGGTTCATCTATTGTCCGATGATGGGTACTATAAGTCTCATACTTCAAATAGTCCCACAGCCTCACAAATGTTTGAACAATTTGGGCATTGTGGACAAGCTCACTATCCTGATGATTAGCCAGAGGGACATTGTCTACTGACACAGGGATTACATATTCCAAAATTTCAAGATATCTGTCTTCTGAAAGAAGCCTTCATAACTTCTATACTGTATTTGTCGCCCCAAAATAAAACAAGCAAAGCTAAATCCAAATCGACCCTGTTTCCCTCTTTCGAATATCACATGGTGATTTTATTGGGACCAATGTCTAGTATCATGTCTATTCAAAATACCTGCACTCGAAAAGTAGGTCCCGATGGACCATATTACAGATCTGGCAAAGTTTTTATCAATACGGATTTGTTCCAAATGCCAGTTGCAAAACAGTAACCGTCATTCTGCATAACACATTCTTTGACCCCGAGTCTTGGGAAGATCAACTTCCTGCTCTAGAACTCTACATGATTGTGAAGGCGTTGCCTCTGCACATACCAAAACGTTGACTTCCTCCGTATAGCGATTTTCTTGATTTTACGTTTTTGGTCCGAGCGGGATAAGCGCTACATATTCTACTAATTTTTTCTTAATTCGAGAAAACATAAAAAGACCAGGTTGTCTTCTTTCTGGATATCAATAACTTAAAATGATGTTAAAAAAAATAAACCCACGTACATCAAAAGGTGAATAAATATTTCAACAAACCTATTGAAGTATAGATGGAAAGCAACTGACAGGTTTTGACATCGGCTTAACAAGTAATCATTACATTGTTCTACTAATCACGGCCTACTATACTAAGTGACATATAAATCCGAACACCCAGTTTAAATAGTTTTATTTTAATAAAAGTTGGTGAATGTATTTATCTTACTGTAAATAACAAGTGAAAAAATTTTCAGCCTTATCAGTTGGACATTCCGGTTTTTATACTGCTTTTTTTAATTCACTAACGCTCTAAAAATGAATAGGTATTTCAGCCGCAGTAAAGAATCAACGTTGGCGGATTTTGATTCTTGACATCCTTTACGATCGGTTACGATGCCTAGAGTACGGAGACCTGTACGATTTCGTCAACTTAGTGAGTTTTATAGGGGCCGTATAGTAGGACTTCGGGAAGCTGGACTTTCTTTTCGGGCAATTGCAGTTAGAGTGCAAAGAAGTGTAGACATTGTGGTTAGGTGTTGTCAGGCATGGCTTCGAGAAGGCCGTACGCAAAGAGCAAGGGGCACTGGATGCCGGCGTAGAACAACAAACCGTGAAGATCGCCGAATAAGATTATTGGCCTTAAGGGACCGTTTCTCCACTACCAGGTCCATTGCAAATGAATGGTTTGTAGAACACGGAAGACCTATTGGCATGCGAAGTGTTTACCGACGAATGAGAAGTTTTGGCTTGTTTTCATACCGGCCACACTGGGTCCTCCCTTTAACTCGAGAACACCGACGTAATCGCCTTGAGTGGCGCAGACAACGGTCACTCTGGGATCAGGAATGGAACAGTATTGTCTTTAGTGACGAGTCTCGATTTTGTTTAGGCATGCACGATGGTCGTGCCAGGGTTAGAAGGCGACGTGGTGAAAGGAGGAATCCACAGTTTTTTGTTGAAAGACATGTTCATCACACTGTTGGAGTTATGGTTTGGGGTGCTACAGCTTATGGTTCTAGGTCACCTTTAATCTTCATCAGACGTAACATGAACGCGCAGCGTTATATCCACGAAGTTCTAGAACCCCATCTTTTACCCTATCTTGACACTCTGGCAGATCCAACTTTCCAACAAGATAATTCCCGACCACATGTTGCAAGAGTCACAATAGACTTCTTTCAACATAATGATGTCACATTGTTACCATGACCACCAAGATCTCCCGACTTATCCCCAATTGAGCACGTGTGGGATATGATGGGTAGGAGATTGCTCAATTTGCAACGTCCTCCTCAGACTCTAGAAGCACTTCGAGAGGAGTTGGTGGTAGCCTGGAATGAGATACCACAGGAGGACATTGACCACCTGGTCAGAAGCATGCCTAGGCGCGTTGGAGAATGCGTAGCACATCAGGGTGCATCCACACATTATTAAAGGTCAAAGGGCTTTAAAGCAGTGCAATCATTTTGAAATTTCTATCATTTACTTATTATGCTTCATTAAGTACTTATACAACATTTTATTAAAATAAAATCATTTAAACTGGGTGTTCGGATTTCACTTAGTATATTACTTATACACATTTTGTGAAATTATAAATTTTAGATTCATTAATTAAAATAATGTCTTATATATTTTTGTTAAGGTTATAAAATTTCTAACCAAACGAGAAAAAATACTATGCTATTAAAAGTTCTATAAGCGCCAGGGGGTCCCAAAATCCAATATTTTCAATTTTGGCCTGTATCCCAGAAACGAAGCGGGCTATGAAAATTTTGTTTATTCCATATTTTTTTTACAAAAAAGTAGCACAGTACTGCAAAAACCGCAACTCTCTATCTTTTATTAGTAAGTGAGATATCCCGTAATATCATCCAAAATGGGACACCCTATACATTATGAAAAACTGTCTGTCGGTCTGTCTGTTTTGTTCGTCCGCTAATCTTTGGTTCTTCTATAATTTGGAAAATACCACTCGGAGATTGTATTTGGACACAAATTTTTATTACTATGCTAAGGACGAAAACGCTTTATAGTTTTTTAAAATCGATCCATTGCCGGCGGCGCTACGGGCAAAACAAAAAAAAAATCAATTGCTCAAACTCTGTTTTTTGATGTCTCAGAGGGTTGAAAATTGGGAGTCGTTTTTATTGTAGCTTAGCGGTCATATCTGGTCAGGTTTAGTTTTCATCAATCTTTTGAATAACACCTGTAACAAGTAGATCGACACTATATCCCAGATACAGTTGCTTTGATCTGTTTCTTTTGAATCATGGTTCATATGGAGTTAGGCCTGCAAAGAAACCGAACATAATTAGAATTGCGTGTGAATTACAGAGTCAACCTACTTGCCATTTTTTTCAAACTGTGACGTCCTCAGCAAGTGTGGGTACCAGCGAGATACAGCCATATACATCGACTATAATATTCGACAGATGGTTCGAGCAAGATCCCGTTTTGGACCGTTCGAGACGCCATTGTGCACATTCGACACATCTAGAGATGAATTTGCTATCAAGATCACTTCCAGGGAAGTTTGTGACTCGGTCGGAAAACGCTGGAATGTTTCTCGACTCGTCAATAGGGAACTAAATACCTGACCAGATGGCTGAAGAGTCAGACACAGTCGAGTCAGTAGACAGCGAATGTTAAATTAAAATGGAATAATGGGTCAGTCGACGTGGTTATAAATTTGTTATAAATTATTTGCAAGTATTAAAATTTAGTGTTGAAGTAATAAATTAGTCTTTGGACTGCAACAACGGTGTTTTAGTTACAATACGAGTATTGTTCATAAAGGACACTGATACCTTAAATTAGAAGAGATTGAAGAAAAAGTCTCCACTCGTCGCGACATAATGATAATTATATATTCTTCAAATTACCTTCGCAATTACGAGAAAAATAATCGTGAAGCATCCCAACAGCGTATCCCATAGTCTAGCCTCTCCAATGTGTTTAAACAAAGCTACCCAAGCTGCTAGAAAACTATCGGATTTTCCTGCAATTCCAAAAAGCGACTTTATTTGGGAAGAGGCTATGTTGAGGGCCGCAGCTGTCGTGAAGCCTGCGATAATGGGGTATGAGAAGAAATTTACGATAAAACCTGGAACAGAGAAAAAATATAGACACTTCGGACAGCTTCATAAATATCAACAAATCTGACGAGGTCAAGGAAGTATGTTTGATTTTTATATGCCAAGTATACATTACATGTACTTACACATTAAAAAAACACATGCAATTTTATGTTTTTTTGGCTCATGAATACGAATGTGATACGAGTACAAAAATGTCCACCTCAACCTTGCAGTATCCAGCTGTATGATTCAAATAGAACATTCGATTAGGCTGACGTGGCTGAAGGTAAAAAAATGGGTTGACTGCACTCCCTACGCAATGCCATCATCAGTTCATGAAGGATTATGTTCAGCGCAATTTAAATCCTGTGAGAAAAAAGTCACTTACGAACATGTACAACATTGAAATTAAACAGATTTAAGTGAGTCAAACAGACCCATAAAATTGCTCCATATAGACATTCTTTCCCTGCCCTACCGGAAGTTATTATCGATTTGGCAATGTTGCCCCTTTCCAGATGAGCGAGGTATGGCCGCAGCCAGTTGTAGATTTCGTGCTTGGTTCGTGTATATGTATATGTTCGGTTCGCCACTGATTAGCGATGGCTCGAGTACAACTGAATCTGTCTCTCAGAGCCAGAAGTCTTAGCCGGCCGTCTTGTCGCTCTGTGTTCCCTCTGGGACGTCTAGAACCCCTCGCTCGCTATCCTCGGCCTTCCTGAGTCCACGCTACACTCACTGCAGTATACGAGTACTACGTAAGGATCTGCTGGTCCTCCTAAAAGCTTCTCTAATCGATAGACCGGCTTCACGCTACCCGACAATTCGACCCGTATCAATGTCACTTAGATGGGACACCCGGCGAATTCTACGCACACTAGGCATTTTGAGCAATCACAAAAACTGACACCGTAAATGTACGAAAATTGAATGCTTCTTTTTATCACCAAACAATACACGCAGCCTCCACACAAACTTAACAGAAAAACCCATTTTATCACTTGTTGTTCATGGCAAGATAAATCGATATGCAAACAATTCTTGAATTCTAATAAATATATGTAGGTGTTTACCTTTTCTTGTCACTTAGTATATTATATAACATCAACATCCAAAAAACATTCGCATTTTTTTGGCGTAAGCAGTAAAAATATGTAATATGAATGCCTCGTTTCATCATCAAAAAGCTGCAGTATATTATATAAACTTTCTTCTATGAAAGAGTCATTTGGAATATATAACATAACATTTTATTCAAAAAGATTGCCGGATTCTGTCGTTTTTTTAACTAAACGTCCCTTTTTTACTGCATCTAGATAAACCCTCTCAAAAGAAAACTGGTCTTAATGATTAGTTGTGTAGAGTTATAACTGATTCAATTTACAAAAACGCTCAACTTTGGCAGCTTCTCAGTCCGCCATTTTGTAAGAATGATTTAATATCCCAGTGTTATGAATTATCCGCAGTGACTTCCAAAAATGCAAAATGAGGTATCACAAGACGGTCTTAAATGGAATGGGTGATTCTATTTTGTCGCCTGAATATAGCTTCCATGCATCAACTTGATTACCCCCAACTTCAGTTTGCTAGTCAATGGATATTAAGCAGTTACTGAACCAAAATTTGGAGTGAAAATAGAGAACCCGCCAAACGCTTATGAAGGGTTGTAATACCATAGATGATGATGTCGACGATGTTGATGATGTTGACGATGATGATGACGACGATGACGATGAAAATGCTGGAGTAAGTTTTAGCAACTTCTCAGCTATTGATAAACTCAACCTTTTCCAATTCCAGCTAATATAATATACGATGGTTCGAAGGTTCTTTCAGAATCATTCAGACCGGTAGGTGTGGTGCCCATTTATATAAAATATTTTCGCATAAATTCGCCCTTACCAAGTTGGAAAAGTCCACAGATAAAAATAATCAGACCAGACAAGAAAGTTATTAAAACAGCCCCTGCTGGTCCCATTGTTCCGACATGTGGTTGTATCATGAGGGCCATTATCGCGGTCGGTCCAATATTGATATCTTTAGCGCTACCGAGGATGAAGTAGATAAAGCAGCCCATGAAGCCACTGTACAGTCCATAGTGAGAAGGTAGACCTGCAAAATAACGAACTGGTAAATAAAAAATCTGAAACTTATCTTGTGTTTTTCATGCTAATATTTTTGTGGCCACCAGATGATATCAAATGTGATGGACTGAGTGTTTACCAACTTAGCTTGGTGGCCTTTTCAGACTACAAATTAAAAAATGGCAATGGCAACTGAAATGTATATATTGAATCAATTATACATAATACTGTAAATGAAAGACATTTAGTATTGCCGGCAGAAGTTTGTTAGCAGGAGGTTGGCGAGAGCCGCCAGGGGGACATTTTTAAATTTCAATGAAGGAATGAAGAAGAAGCTATTCTATTGAGTTTATAAGAGAATTAACGAATCTTTTCACAATATATTTTTCCATCTGTCTTCCAGGTAACAGATTGTTGTTTGTTTTGCCGTTACTATACAGGGTCTCCCAACAAAAATAGATAGTAGTTTTATGAGGAAACTGGAAAAAATATGAAAAATCTAGAGGAACTTATCAATATCGTTTATACGTTAGGCAAAGGAAAAATAAACTGCCCAGATGTGTTAAAAAAAGTGGCATTGTTTTCATGGAAGATTTGATTTCAAGTCTAAATGTGGAATATATTTTTTTTCTTGGTGGTCTCAGTGGTATAAACATATCAAAAAAAGTTCTCAAGCAAAGCTCATCAATTATGTAGGAATATACAGGGTGTTCCATTTGAAATTTATGAGGAACGGTACATTTTGCGTGTTGAGATAGTCTGTATAAATAAAAACATATTTCAGCACTTCTTCCAGATCAGCTTAAAATCGATTATAAAATTTTTGTGAACTTAGATTTATCTAAATATCTTTAAAAAGTGGCGGAGCTACGAGCCGTCAAAGTTGGGCATTTTTTTGACACATTTTACTAAATATCTAAACGATTGACAATCAGGCAGCAGCGGTGGCCGCAGTAGTAGACTCTTCGGTCTCCTGATCAAAGGCCGTGCGCTGTGCGGGTTCGAATCCCGTCCCAGGAGAAAATTTTCTCTTGGCTATGGATGTTGTGACTGTCTTTATAATGGCCACCGCGCAAACTCAGCCATGTCCAGGATCACCTGAGGTAGACAACCTCGCTCCCAAAACACGTCCAAAGCGACAAGCGGTTATGAGGTTATGTGTTGTTTTGGGTGTAGCAGACACGTCACTCTCGCTCATTGCCCCGGAGATGGTAAGGAACTTAAGAACACTATTGATTTTTTTTGACATTATGTAGGAAAAACAGATTACCTCATGCTCTTTTGTCGCTTTAAAGAGGCTAGACGGGAGAGATAAGGCATACACCGGACATTAGAAGAAATTAAGAAAATTGATGTACCGAATCAGCGTTTTTTTTTCTATAAATATAATAACGCACCATTAATATTATCTTTAAGGAATATTCAACTAATCTAGCGACACTATTCGCTGTGCCAGTTGGTATTTTCTCCACGATGTTCTTAAATAATCATCCGCTTAAATTTTCAAAGTATCTGAGAAATACCGTTTCTGAAGTACCGAAAGACATGCTGTGGTATCACTTCCGCTTTGCGGAATATACAGGCAGTCCTCAAAGCTGGGAGCTTCCTTTTCACACGTTGTATGGATCTTGGAAAAATGAGCAGTTTTCTAGTAACATATACACCAAAGTCTTCAGATTACCGAGATGTTAGGCTCTACAAAATAAATCAAACCTAAACAAAACATAATCTGGTCCTGCATCTCGATCAGATCAAACGTGAACACGTACGATGCGCATCAGTACTCAATCCGCGCTGGCCGCATTAGTAAACATAACCTTTACACATCGGTTCTGGAAAACAAAACAAAAATGGCACACTCACTCAGCAATATCGAAGTTGTGCCATACTATTTTAATCTACGGTGACTTCTTTTCTGTTTTGGGCGAAATGCAATGTTTAGAGTATACATGTATAATGTAATGAAACTAACGCCAACTACAGAGAATACCGACTGTTACAACCAATATAAAAATAAATTTATAGAGCTTGCAAGGCAAACCAAACGAAAACATTACCTAAATAAATTGAATAATAACTTAAATGATCCTAAGCGGCTTTGGACAACTATTGATGAGATTACTGGGAAAACAAAATTTAAAGAGTGTGTCACTGAGTTAAATACAACATCGGGAACAGTATTAAAAAATACTCAACAGATATGCGATGAATTTGTACAATTCTTTACTGACATAGGTGAAAATTTAGCAAGTAATATACAAGCAAATGAACAAAATACTCAGCCTCCAAAACGAACTTTGAACTCATTTATTTTGGATACAGTCGAACAATATGAAGTATACACCACTGTTATGTCCTTAAAAAATTGGAAAAGTCCTGGGTTCGATGGTATTAAAAGCGAGCATTTGAAAATTATAGCCGAGGACATAACAGAACCACTCACTTACCTAATCAACAAATGCTTTGAATCTGGCATATATCCCTCAATTTTAAAAAAAGGTAATATAATACCGATATATAAATCAGGAACAAAAACAGATGTTAACAACTATAGACCAATATCAATAATATCCAGTGTAGCAAAGGTTTTTGAAAAAGTTTTATCTACTAGAATGATTCGATACCTCACAAAATTCAAAATTTTAAGTGAAAATCAATATGGATTTACAGAAGGGAAGGCTACATCGGACGCAATAACTAAAATTGTAAATCAAACATATCAAAATATTGATAACAGAATCCCTTCAATCTGCATTTTTGTTGATTTAAAGAAAGCTTTCGACACAGTTAATCACAAATTATTATTAGAAGCATTGGAGAGAATTGGTTTCAGAGGAAACGCGTACTCACTGATCGAAAGTTATTTGTCAAATCGCCCACAATCTGTGCAGATATCAGGATCATTTAGTAAAGAAATGTATATTAAGTGTGGTGTCCGACAAGGAACTGTCTTAGGTCCGCTGTTATTCAATATATATTTAAATGATATTGTCCAAATTAATTGTGTTGGCAAAATAACTAGTTTTGCAGATGATACTGCAATATTATATGAAGGCACTGACTGGTCTGATCTGAAAAATGTAATTGAAAATGATTTTATCAAAATTATTCGGTGGTTTAACAGTAGAAAATTAAGCATTAACTACTCTAAAACACATTTTTTACCATTTGGATCTTATGCTAGACATCTGCCAAATTACACAAATTTCTCCTTCAATATTAATGATCAAAAAATGCAAATTAATAGAGTGCCCAACATAAAATACCTTGGAGTGGTCTTGGATCCTCACTTACGATGGGACATCCATGTCAATTATATTTTAAAGAAAGTTAGATTTGTATCCTACAAAATTAAATACCTTGGGAATATATTGACAGAAAAATATCTTCAAACATTATACCATGCACTGATTAGCATGGGGAGCTGCATGTTCCTCACATATCTATAATTTAGATGTTTTTCAAAAAAGTATTCTAAAAATGATATTTAAAATACCGAAACTTTATCCCACTGAAAAATTATATGCAGATGTTCGAATGTATGATATAAGACAACTTTATTTCTTACACAGTATCACTCACTACCATAAATTTGTAAACACCGACCAAAAAAATTAAACATAATCATTATACCAGATACAAAATTCGTGGCACAGTAGTTCCTCAACCGCATAAATCTATAATGCAGCGATCATATCTCTATTTAGCGCCTAAATTTTATGAAATTATACCTAAAGACTTAAAAGATTTACGTTTCGGAAATTGTTTCAAAAGAAATTTAAAAAAGTGGCTACATTCTATATCTAGGACTGAAATTCATAAACTCATAAATACGAACATCAACTAAATACATAATCTACTGTAGCTAATTTTTGTCCTTTTTTGTCATTTGCATTCTACAGTTTCAACTTAAATTATTGGTCCATGTACAGGCGATGCCTTCTATTGGGCCTGTTTTGATTTTATATTTATTTACTCATATTGTTTGTTATCTTTGTACATTGAGTAAATAAATATTATTATTATTATTATTATAAAAATGAGGTGAACACGGTTCGAACTACGTATGCGAATGTGTTTTTGAATATATCGCAGATAACTTTAAACAATACTTACAAGTGACAGAGCTGTACTTGAAATTTGTTTTCAATGTACAGTGACTTATAGTATTTTTCATATATTTTTTTGCTTATTAGCTACTATTTCATCGCATATTGGCTTTGTTATTACAAACGTAGTTGTTTCTGAAAAGGGAAATCCCAACTTCCAGGACACCCTGTAATGCTATATCGTAACTACACTTTCCTAAAATTATGAATATGTAATAGACAATACAGGGTGATTCAGAATAACGTGGCAACATTTCTCAGTGCACAAGCTGCATCCAGAAATAACGAAATAAGTTCCTATCAACATAGGTTATAAAAGGACCGTGACACATAGTGTTGAAATTATCATTTTTCATGAACCTTGCATATAATTTTTTATCTGCTTTATGACCCAAAAATATACCCTCGTTTTTCTTAATTACCCAGTACAGTCTTAACAACTTACCTGCCACTATAGCATAAGCAATGCCCTGTGGAATTTCCGTGAGCCCTACTGTGAAGCCAGCTAACAGATCTTGGAAAAAGGATCCATAGTTGTATTGTGGCAGCCAGATCAAGACGGGAATGTAACTTTTGAGCATGTCTTTAGCGTTCAAGCATAAGAGGTGTCTGTTCGCCTCTGAAAATAGTATATTGTTGATATGTTAATATCTTTTTTAATAGCCAAAGTTATCAGTTCATAACTCTCCTTTTGGGTTAGCTACGAATATGTATAGTAGAATAATGGGTCAAATCAGCCAAAAGGTCCATATACAATTAGTAAATATGACCCATCCCCATTCATTTGATAACGTTAACGCATATTTCTTCACTATATCCTAAGTTTCGGCCACCTGGCAACATTGCTGGGCCACACCACTTAAACATGTCATAAGCGCCAGCCACCATACTATAACATCCCTGCCGGTAACACTGTCAGACGCAAGGCAGGGTTAGGAATATGAAAGCCTCCGTTGCTTCGCAGCACCGATCGCGTGTTGCGTCTATGAATATTTATTTAAGTTATAAGGGCAAATGTACGTGGAAATCTTTGATGTGTGATATATATATATATATATATGTACTGATAGGGGCGTAAAATTACTGGGGTTGAAAGCGTATAAATAAACTACCGCCAAAAAAAATGTTTTGATTTTCAATCTCTACAACATATATATATATATATATATATATTATACATATATATATATATATATATATATATATATATATGATCAGAAACCTCTGAAACGTCAATTTTTTTTTATTTTCTTCGTGTTTTTGCCCCTAGCTGCGCCACCACTAAGTCGATTTTCCAAAACTACAAAGCTTTTTCGTCCTTGGCATAGTAGTAACCTTGTGTGGAAATTTCACCCAAATTCGAGCAGTACTTTCCAAATTATAGGCGGTCGAAAGATTAGCGAACAGACCGACAGACAGACCAACACAAATTAATGACATGATTTCTCGTGATGTACATGTCCTATAACATCCAAAAAACATAATATATCATTTTCGAAATTTTTCATGATTACAATACTTCCTGGGGAGGGAAGTAAAAAATATTATAATTATTAATAACAGTTTAAATACAATATTGAGCAAAAATAGTTATCAATAAGCAGTCTTTACCCGTCTTTCTTTTTATTTATCACTATAAAAGTAATAACGGAGTGAAAAGTTTTCAGTCTCCTCTAGGCTTAGCTTTTATAAGAATAGGATCGCATACGCCACTTCACGCAGCAGGCGTCGGGTGATGATACGAATATCTCGTAGACCAAAAAGCCTACCAAAAGCCGAACAGACCGGACATATAAACATTGAGCCGGACAGAACCGATAAGAGAACATCATCAATCTTCAGAAAATCAGTTTATAAAAATATCTTGTCAGCTGCTCACTGTAAGCAAAATGTATACAGTGCCTTTCGAAAAGATCCCCTGCACTTATTTTTGAAGAATCAAATTAGCAAGTTTAAAACTGATAACTGAAAATTTCAACATGGCAGCTAGAGTATCAATTTAATATATTTCAAAATGACGGACTGTCAGAGTTGAGCGTTTTTATACATTGAATCGTTATCTGATTGTGCATTTAAATAAAGGGCATACCGTTCAAAAAAGTTGACAGATTTTGATATTTTTTTAATAGAATCTTCCTTATTTTATTACACGGTTTACGGTTAACGTATTATACCTGTATATACAGGGTGACTTTGAAGTTGAGTCATTAATTTTCAGATAATGATTGTAGAAGGAAGATAAACCAAAATATGTGTGTAAAAATAAAAAAAAAATAAAAAAAAAATGTTACCTTGTTTAATAAAGTATCCTCCCGACAAGTATTTCAGTGCGGACCTGTATTTGATCGTGCGGTCTTGGAGCACCGGCATGCTCTCACCTGTGAGGTCTTAAGTCACCTGATTCACGAGCCCTTTGTACTACATTAACAAAGGCACGAGGAGTTGGTTGCACTCGATTGGGAAACCGATTCGCATAAATCCGTGATGCATCCGGCAGCATTTTGTAAAAACTGCCCCCCCGTAAATAAGAATCATGTCCACAAGTTCAGCATTTTCGTAAACATGTGCCATTTTTCATTTCGTTTGAGTCACGCAACAAACATCACTATTCACCCACGCGTTACCGACTGACGAAAAACAACGTGATAAACGTTTCAAATTCTTTCGCTTTTTTGTTTCCGATGCGATGAACCGATATCCGTTGTTGCCAAACACATAATATTATTATTGAGACAGGGCGGTACTCAAACTTCCAAAGGGCTATAACTTTGTTCCTTTAATTTTACCAGAAACATGGTAAAGGAAAAAAACATTTCTTTTGATCAGATCTACTCACTGTTAAAATAAATGACTCAACTTCGAAGTCACCCTGTATATAGTATTCAGCATCCAGAAACGGATCTGAAATATCTTAGCGCCATCTGTGAAATAAAAGCGCACACAAATTAATTCAGAAAGCTACTTTGAAAAGAGTTGGAATGTATGGTTTTGCTATTTTATAGATGACGCTTAGGATGTTTGATCCCTTTTGGCGCCTCTTTGATGAAGTACTGGGCATCTAAATATCCAAAATATCCAAATATCCAAAATAAAATGTACTGTATATTCGCGTGCATTCTGTGTTAATGTTGCAGCTTGCTCACACCGATTCAGGTTGTACTTTCTGACACAATGGATTCTCAGAATGGTGAGCACGTTGTTGTTGATAGTGACCGTGGTAGCAGGAAACGGCAAGTAAATGTAACCACCAGTGAGAGAAAAAACAAGTGAGGTATGATAAATTTCTCCTGGGTCGGGACTCGAACCCGCACAGCGCACGGCGACTGATCAGGAGACCGAAGAGTCTACTACTGCGGCCACCGCTGCTGCCTGAATTGGATGCTGTGAAAACATTCATCAGCTAGCTACAAGGAAAAGAAAGTCACTACGGAAGGCAGAAGTCTCGAAGGATCTATGTTTCTTCAGAATACAACATTGCTGTACTTTGGCAAATATACAGGGTGTCCGCAAAGTTGGGGTTTTCCTTTTCAGAAACAACTACCCTTGAAATAACAAAGGTAATGTGTAGTGAAACAAGGGCGACCAAGTAAAAAAGAATAATGGAAAAAGTACTCACTCTCTCGTTGACGAGAAGGGCTAAGTACGTCTCTGCCCGAAATCATACCGCTCCAACAGAAAATGAAATCAGCTGATGCGCTACCGAGCAGACGCCGGCGGTGGTGCAGACCACGAACAGAGGTAACAAATATGACAAATTTGGGAGAATAAATGGTCCAATGAGCATACCGTTCACCATGCCAGTCCAAACATTCACCGAAAATGTTTGTTGAAAGTGTGCCCGACGGACAGCGTGCGGATTTTCTACTGACCAAACATGAGTGTTGAGAAAGTTATTCACCCCATTACGCGTGAACGTAGATTCGTCTGTCATCAATATGCACTTCAAAAAGTCCAGATTATTGTCATGTTGATGCAACAACCACTCACAAAACCGCACTCTTGCTGGAAAATCGTCAGGTTGAAGGGCTTGTACACGTTGGTTCACGCAGCGTTTGCCACACTTTAGTTTTTGATACTTGCACTTCTCTAGCCACGTCTCTAGTGCTTGTTGTTTTTTGAAACGCAATCGATTATACGGGTTCGTTTACCTCTCTCTACACGCGTGACAGTAACCGTCGGTTGAAGGTTGCATACTGACCTGACACACTGACCCCGACCCAGTTCTGTCGTCGGGTTGAGCCAGTCACCTTGTACCAGTCGGTGATGTCGCGGGTCGCGGCTACAGGACGGTATTCAGACATTTTTGATGTTTATCTCGGTTCCCTTAAGACATTGGTGTATATGGTACTAAGAAAAATTGCTTATGTTTTCAAGATCTACACGTCGTGTAAAGGAAAACCCCAACTTTGCGGACACCCTGTATAATAAAAATGCACCAAACAACTTAAAGGTGAATTACAAGTATTTTAGCAGAGTCTTCAGTAAATATTTTAACGTAGGGTTCGGCAGTCCAGCTAATAATGTTTGTAGCTATTGCGTAAGAGCATTTACCAAAATACGAATGTCTCAAAACTTAACTGAGAAACAAAAAATATCCACAGAACTGAAAGTACATAAATTCCGTGCGTCACAAGTTTATAAGTTGATGCAAACTGAAGGCCCGAATACAGTTTCATTTTGCTTTGATTTACAGCAAGTTCAGGTATTCCCGGTCGAAATCACGAAAGATGACGATTACGTCATCATTTTAGTCTGTAGTAAAGACAAACGACAGCGATTTGTGAATATTTTTAATGAAGTTTTAGATATCTTAGACAGAGACAAACATAATTTTATTGTCTAAACAAACTGTATTGGTAATTTGCATGTATCCGACAAAAATAGACGATGTTTTCATGTTGCATGATCGATCATATTTGAAAGATGAATAGTTAGGTTATGTTAAAGCGGGTTAGGTTGTTTTCGAATAATACTATAGTCTTTGGTGTTCCTTTCTTAAGGTATTCTACTCATAACTGTAGTTTTTTTTCAAAACAAAACTCCCCACTAAAATTATTATTAAGGTATCACTCAAAACCATGAAATGAAATCAAAATAAAAATAATCTGTGAAATAACCTAACTTCGCAAAATCATAATATAAGTTTGTTGTTATTATGTTCCTGACATCGTGATTTTATCTTAGACGTACGTCCATTGATCACTTTAGTACAATTTATGGTATGACGTAAGAGTCATCTTTCGTGATTTTGACTATATTCAGGAAGTATTTTACGCTCAACAGTTGTCAATATATTTTTTGCATTACCAAAGTTAATTGCCAGGAACCAATATTTTACACGTGGATGGAGCATCAAGCGGGTAGGGAGGCTACTGAGACATCATCTGCAGTGCTAAGGTCTCACAGTATCATAAAAACTCCAGATGTATTTTGTGGTTAAAAAAAGTGAATGGTATAAGCTCTTGTCGGAGACTGTTTATTAAAAAAACTATTACCAGCAACAATGTCTTGGTAAAAAGTGAAGTACTATATCGGAGTTTAGATAAGACAAAAAAATTTCAATCGCTACTTAAACGACGCGCAAAAATGACCATGTAGACCCAGCGCAGCTAGAATTGGATTATAAGATGAAGAAAAAAACTAAGGCCGTTTCTGAGCACCAGTTTTTTGCATTTCCTGAAAATTTACAATTTTGGACAAACTGCGTTTTGCAAGTCTGCTCCTCAGTTATACAATAGAGTTCTGATGATCGGTTGTTAAATTACATTGAAGGATTCAGTGTACAAAAACGGATAGTTTTAACAGTCAGTCCATCATTTTGGAAGATAGTAAATTTAGATTCTATTGTTCTAAAGTAAACTTAAGGAGCTTCAGAATTAAGTGTCACATGACGCCCATTCCATTTAGAACAATGTTGATTATGGAGCCCAGCCACCATCTTAAAATTTTGTACTGTCACTTTTACATTAAAATATAGTTGACATGCATAATTTTATCGTCCCAAATTTCAGCGTGACCCGTTGGCGACGACCTTTTTGAACAGCACTGTACGTATGCCAAAAAATTACGTGAGCTCGCCTACGTCTGCCAAAATGACACCTTGTATGAAATTTACAAGAAGTGTTATAAATGTAACGAATCCTATCTCTCTATCCTTTTTGTACAGCCGATGGCGCCAATGGTTATCGCGCAAAAAGTAATTATTGATTTAAATGTCTTTGTTTCAATAAATGCGGTACCAATACTGAGTAGAAAATTACTGTGGATCAAGGACACGCCAGTGATAAGTATCAGAAGCTAACTCCATAAGTATATTGTTATTTTTAATGATGCGTCCTCCACTATCACCATATTCATAAATTCATAAGGCCAGCCTCGTATCTAGACTTAAGATTAATGTATTACTGATATCAAGACCGGAAAGCTCCAACGCATTATTTTTGATAGGAATTAAGGAGTGATCTATTCACTTATCTACGTATACATATAAGTAGTACTTACACTCTTCATATCATACTTCACTGAAAATTACACAAAGATGATATGCTACAAATAATTCCAAGGTTGACTCACTCTCTTCATATCAACCTTCTCTCAAAATTACACAAAGATGATATACTAGAAATAATTCCAAGGTCGACTAGGCAATAACCCAGACTATCAAGTTTGCAAATCTAGTTTTTAGCGATGTTTTTTAAAAAAAAACTAGTATCCAATATGTGAATAATCGAAGAGAAGAGAAAATAAGTAAATTTCATGTTTTATTGAGCATCCCGAAAGTGGTAGTGGATCTTTTTTCGTATACCCCAAGAGCTGGCCAGATTTAACCAGTTTTAATTTTTTATTTTTTTCGAAGACGGCCTAAATTATAATACAGGAGTATCGCATCTGCTATTAACAAGTTAAGATATCTTCTTAATCTGGGGCAAATTCCTTTGGTACGAGTTCTAGCGCGATGCTACGCACCATGACGGAATGCTGTAATACACTTGTATTGAGATGGGTATGGCGAACGATTGGAGGGTTTTGGTGAGTAGCCCGTATCTTGGACTATTTCACAGTTCGGTAAGGAAAAGCTAATAGAGGTATTTATCGAGCTTTTCTGTCCGAGAGAGGCTTTCTCCTGACTAAAGAATCAGAGTTAAGACATACACTCGGTTAATTAGGGCTGTTACACAAGAGGCAGGAGCCTTACGGGTTCGTTCGTCAGGTCTAGAACATGGCGATATCATGGAGGCAAACTCAAAGGAGCAAAATCCGTTGATATTTCGATGGAAGATAGCCAGATTAGCTATAACGAGTGTTTAAAATTAGGAACCTCGGAAACGGTAAAAGGTACGAAGTCGCTTAAATAGGGGCAAAGTTGCAACTAACAGAATGCCCCTTAGAAAGTTTCGAAATTCAGAGTACTTCCGGAGAGAGACGGAAATATCCGAATTTTCCCAAAAACGTTTTAGTTTTCTCCTGACTTTATTTGTAGTGGGATTTTAAAATCAATGGCACATTAACACGATGACATAATCAGAATTTCAATATGACGATATTTGTCTATTGTTCTCCAGAATCAACTTTATTTTTTCGTACGGACGCATATTGGTTTTTTGTTTATGTCAATGCTGATTCCAAAAACGTATAACGTGTCATACATTGACATTGTCAAACCTTAGTTATTTTAAAACAGAATTTCCTAAGATAGTCATTTGTTTCGTATACCAGATTATAGCCAAATCATTTTTATTCTCTTCTGACTTTATTTGAGTTAGGATTTCAAAATAAATTGTATTTTGTCGTTGCCATTTTTTCTCCTCTTCAAGATGGTGTAGTCAAATTTTTAATTGGAGGTTTCTTCTTTCTACAATTGTAGGACGCCTTTAAGGCCTCCTTGATTTTCATAATATTTTCTCTCTCTTCAGAAACGCTG